ATTTTCCATTTCAAGAGAGGCTCCTGCCTTCCTTAGCAGATACCTGTCTGTTCAAACCAAGCCAGCAGCCAAGAAGGAAAGAAAATCCCTTCAATCAGGCTGGAGGCGAGGAGGAGGAAGGTTGGGATTCAGAGCTGATCCTCAGCCCAGCTCTGACATGAGCTGTGCCACTGCAGGAGGAGTTTCGCGCTTGTGTTTCAGTTCCACCAAGGACATAAATCAGCTTTTAAATGATCTCTGAGCTGTTCCCACTGCCCATCACTCAGGGCTAAGTGAGAGGTGCTGCCAGGGAACTGCGCTCCTGAGAACCTGCAGGAAGCAGGCAGTGCACACATCAACCCAGCTCAGATCCCTGGGTAAATCAGGCACTGACATTCCAAGCTGGAATTTCCCAGCACCTGGAAATGAGCTGCATCCTTATTGCAGACACAAGGCACGGAGGCGAGTGCCAAACCCTCCAGCACAAAGCCACCCGCTGGCTCTGGGCACCAACAGCTCCAGAGCAGGAGCTGCAGAGGCAATGCCTGCACAGCCATTCCTCTGTCCACAGTGAAAACACTCCAAAAATATTTTTCAAAAGGCAAATCAGGATATTTACTAAGTGTGGTAAAAACCCAATCAGGAAAACGCAGCACCTGTGAGCTCAATTCCATCTCTAGAGTGTCACAGACATATTTTATGAAAAATCCTTTTGCTGGGATCTTTTCTCCTGAGAAGCCGAGAGGCCTTAGAAATGAAATGTAAACAATGGTTATCTGCTGCTGTGGAATGGAACAGGTGCATCTGTGATTGGTCTCATGTGGTTGTTTTTAATTAATGGCCAATCACATTCAGCTGGCTCGGACTCTCTGATCAGTCACAAGATTTTATTATCATTCCTTTCTATTCCTTTAAAGCCTTCTGATGAAATCCTTTCTTCTATTCTTTAGCATAGTTTTAATAGATCATTTTCTTTTAATATAATATATATAATAAAATAGTAAGTTAGCCTTCTGAAACATGGAGTCAAGATTCTTATCTTTTCCCTCATCCTGGGATCCCTGATAACACCACCGCACCTGACCAGTGAGGAGCATCTCAAATCCTGTAATCCAAATCCTGTCATCCCAAATCCTGTGTTTCCAAATCCTATCTTTCCAAACCCTGTCATCCCAAAAACACCACCCAGGAGCCAGAGCCAGGGCTCAGGGGCTGCTGTGGGAATGGGGGCAAAGCACCCGAGCACATGGGCCCCATGGGGACAGCGCTGGGAACTGCAGAGCCAGAGCAGCAGCAGGAAGTGGCAGCTGCTTGTCCAGCTGGATTTACCCAGTCCTGGCTCTCTCTGGGTCCCCACAGCCACTGAGCTGGGGATTTGTGGCAGCTCCTCCTCTCCTGGTGCTCCCTGGGAACAGGGACAGCCTGGGAGCTGATTTATGGCACCCCTTAGAGCAAAGCAGGGCTTCAGCCCAGCCCCCTGCCCAGGAGGAGATGCAGCAACAGGAGGGGTTTGCAGGAGGTGGAAGAACATCAACAGGGCAAAAATTAATTCCTCTGCTTCCCCTTTCATTTGGGGCAGTGAATTCTGCACAAATCAGGGCAGGCACAGCCCAGCTACAACATGAGCAGGGCAGGGCTTGTCTAAACTGATCAAAAAGAAGATTTGTGATAACAAATATCTGCTTCACAAAAAAACCAAAAATCCATAAAACCCATAAAATTCCACGAAAAACATAAAGCCAACTGCTCATCTGAACCCTGCTCACTGCTGGCTGCTTAAAATGCTCCTGAAGCCATTAAGGAAACTGCTCTGTAAATCACTCCTGACTTGCCAACATCCCACAAACACTGCTGGTAATTCACTGTTTTACTCCCCCTCCCTATTTTCAGGAGTATTTGGAACTCTTTGAAGG